TGTGTTCCTTCCCTCTCTCGCTGTCCCTGTCAAATAAATAACCTTAAAAAAACAAAGACACAAAACCATTTAGGGTAGCTAATAGGGGCAGGCCAATTTAACGTGTAAAACCACACCAGTACAACACACCCCTCTCACCTTTACTAAGGAGCTCCTGAAGGGCTGCCCTGGCCAGGGAACCTCGAATCTTCAGTCTCTCAGAGACAACAGCTGGAGTTATAAGCTTATAGTTGGGAACTTCCTTACAGAGTTTGTCATATGTCGCTTTGTCAAACAAGACCAGATTATTGAGCTTGTCCCGAACTTTGCCTTTGGACCACTTCTGCTCACCAAAAGGAAAAGGAAAGTCAGTACTCCTGGAAGAAACCACTCCCTCCCTCCCCAAACAACCTGTGTCAGAGAACTCTCTTCCATAGCCGTGGTGCTATACCGCAAGGGTGGCTATTCCCATGAAATTCAGAATTTACAGAAACTCTACAAACTAAGATTCAAGTAATTTGAAACAAGGACCCAAAATAAAAGGAAGTCTAGTTGCCATTAACGGCGTCAAAGATGCGTTAGACTGGGGGGGGGAAGTCTTGGGGGAAAAAAGTCTTTGCGAATTTCGGATATAGGCTGAACCCCACGACATCAATTAAAATATCATGTACTAAGCATCAAAACATACACTCTTATTTAATTTCTAAGTAGTGCGTACCACCCTATTCTTCCAAAAACACAGAACGGTGATGAGAGCCCAAGCTCTAACAATCGGACTCTAGACCGCACAACTCTAAAAGCCATTTGCTCTACATGTCACTTATTACCACAACCACATGAGTCCGGCGTCCCCAGTACCCCCCTCTCCTGGGGGGGGCTCACTCCTACCTTCTTTTTGGCCTTGCCCCCAGATTTGTTCACTGGGTCTTTGTCTTTCTTGGCCGACTTTCCGGCATCTTTCTTCTTCTTGTCATCCTTGGGCGGCTGTAGAGAAAAAGGGGGAATGCAGCCAAGTCACAAGGCAGCCCCGCACCGCCCTAACCCCACTACCGGAGCACATGGGTGAAGCCATCCCCCCGCCCGCCTTAAGAAGCGGCCCGGAGGGTCGGGGGCCCTCCGTCCGGTGCCGCCCCAACTGCGCCCCAGCACCACCCGGCTCTCAGAACCGCACCGGCTTGCCATCCGCGAGAGCTCACCATAGCGAAGCCGGGAGAGCAGCGTCCACCCCTGCAGCCTCGCTAAGATGTCGGACAAAAAGGAAGCACGGCTCCCCGACCGGCCCAGAAACCTCCACCCGCAGCGAGCGCTTCCGGGGCAAGGGGCGGAGCCCGCGGAGGAAGGCCGGAGGCCCGGCTCCCTCGTGCAGCGGAGAGCGGGGCGCAGCGAGGGGGCAGTCGTTCCCGAGCCGCGCACCCCGGAGACGCTGCCCGCGACTTATCGGGCTTTGCCGCTAGTTGTGCGGCAGCCCCACGTTGTATTCCCTGGCCCTGGAAACGAGAGACAGAAAACAATCTGCCAGGCCCCGCAACGACCCCCGGCGACCCCGCTAAGCGCGGTGCTTTAAGTGCGCAGGCGCCGCAACCCTCGCGCTCGGGGCTGGGCGGAGGGGGCGGGGGGCGGGTCCCGCCGCTGCGGTTCCGGGGCGGGGCCGTCAGGAATAAGCCCAATCCGAGTCTTCAGAGGCGCGGTGGCCGCAATGGCGATTTTTAGTGTGTATGTGGTGAACAAAGCTGGCGGCCTCATCTACCAGTTGGACAGCTACGCGCCCCGGGCCGAGGCAGAGAAAACTTTCAGTTACCCCCTTGATCTCCTGCTCAAGCTGCACGACGAGCGTGTGCTGGTTGCCTTCGGCCAGCGCGACGGCATCCGGGGTGGGCTAGGCTTGCGTCCGAGGGGTGGGTCCGGTGGTGCGGCGTGGGCTGGTGTCTCTGCGGGGCTGGGGAGCGCGCGGAGGGAGAAGGGAGAGGTGGGTGAGGCCGGGTCGCTAGTCCCTTCGGCGGAATCCCCACGCTGGGGTTTCGTTGACCCTTAGCCTCACCTCTGCAGTGGGACACGCCGTGCTGGCCATCAATGGCGTGGACGTGAACGGCAAGTACACGGCCGATGGGAAAGAGGTGCTGGAGTACTTGGGCAACCCTGCCAATTACCCGGTGTCCATTCGATTCGGCCGACCTCGCCTCACCTCCAATGAGAAGCTCATGTTGGCCTCCATGTTCCACTCGTAAGTCCCCCAGCCCTTCCTAGGGCCTGTGGGCCTGCGCTTGGCCCTTAGGCCGGCTGGATTAGTGTGGTTCTGCTGGAAGTCTCCTGAGCGGCCGTGCTTACCTTTCTTCGCCTCCTTTTAAATCGTCAGTTCTTGTAGTTGTGAAAGAAAGAGAATTAATCCAGATGACTAGGTTTTAGGTAATACCGGCAGTGGTGTGGCCTTGCACAAGTCAACTTCTCTTCCCTCAGCTTTAGTTTCTAAAGTAAGGTAACTGAATTAAATGATCGTGAAGACCTTTTCCCATTCTCAACGATAGTAGAAGGTGTGCTGAGTAATCATAGGTGTGGGGTAGGTAACCATGGCACGCATTCCCAGTGGTAATTTTACCCAGGGTTTTCAATGTAAAATGTTTTAAGTATGAGTGTAAAATACATGCAGAGCTCAAATGCATTTTAAAGAAATTTCGGTGCTGTTGCTGCTGGGCAATTGACACGGCCTGTTCTGACCTCTCAGGGTGTAATGTGAACTCAGCAGAGAGGGTCGCTTCAGTGGAAAAGTTTGAGAAGCACTCCTCCCTCAAAATAGCAGGGTGCATTCCCAACCTTACCTCCTTTGCAAATAGGCTGTTCGCAATCGGTTCCCAGCTGTCTCCAGAACAGGGCAGCTCAGGCATTGAAATGCTGGAGACCGACACGTTCAAACTGCACTGCTTCCAGACACTGACAGGTAGGCGTCTCCCAATAGGCCAAAGGGATGCAGTGGGGCAGGTTGGGGGAAGGGACTGACCAAAGACAACTTTGGTAAGCAAGGGGGTGATGGTTAACTTTTCCTGGGACAATTGCACAGACACATATGTCTGTTTTGTGAATCCAAAGCCAATACTTAATCTCATGCCAATTTTGTCCACACCACCCAGAATGCTCAGCCCTGGTTATCCTGTGTGCAGATAAAACTCACCGTAATGGTATCTCATGTTGCACACGTTTTGCAAGGTGTGTTTCAAAATGAAACCTGAATGCCAAATGGAAATGACCTTTGGATCGAGGCAATTGCCTCGCTCCCTTAGTGGGGACAATTGAAAACTGCCTGAGTCTGCCCCCTTCCTGGCACTTGCCGCTGAGGGACCACAAGACTAGGAATTAAGTGACAGAGCTAGATGTCAAAGCGTGGTCTCAGTCAGTTGGGTGATGCGATAAAGTCACTTCCCTGCTCTGGTCTTATAGATTCACAATCTTGCCCTTCCTGCTTTATGGAGCAATAAGGATAAAAATAAAAATGGGCTTATGAAAATGCCACATGCACACAGGATGATGTTATTTGCTGCATTCTCTACCCTTTTGTAACCATTCTTGGTCCTTCTCCAGGGATCAAGTTTGTGGTGCTGGCAGATCCTAGGCAAGCTGGAATAGATTCTCTTCTCCGAAAGATTTATGAGATCTACTCAGACTTTGCCCTCAAGAATCCATTCTATTCCCTGGAAATGCCCATCAGGTAGGCGGTCCCCCTCCCCAGATACTGGTCAAAGCGTCCTTGCCCCTCCCTTTGTGCTCTTCCCTGAGGTCATTTTTCCAAAAGGATAAGAAGAGTTACTTTTAAATAGAACAAAAGTGGGCTAGTCTTTTCTTGCTGTTTTGAGAAACCAAAGACTTTTCTTGTCATTCATGTCCTTCTTCAAGCAAGAGTTTCCCCTGGCTCTACCTCGGCACCCAAGGTGGGAGGAGAGTCTGAGACCTCACACTTTGTCCTCATTTGTGCCTCTTGGGTCTGGCCTAGGTGTGAGCTGTTTGACCAGAACCTGAAGTTAGCCCTGGAGGTGGCAGAGAAGGCTGGAACTTTTGGACCTGGGTCATAGGCTGAGCCCGCAATGGATCCCCCAAGTTTTGAGAGATCCTACAGCAGGGATCCTGCTGTATCCACTCCAGTGGAGATCCCCGCAGCCTCGTTAGTGCACTTGAAAATGGGAGGGTGCCGAGCCTGATGACATGTACCGATCCCCGAGCCTTAAAGCCGTGCTCTCTGCCCTCCTGTATCCACCGTGAGCCTACTTCCCAACTCTGTACAGGTTTATTTATGGAGGGAGTAGGCCCATAAATGCTTAATAAACATTCCTTTGATCTGTGTTCGCTATCCTCATTAATGGTTTGGGGGGAAAAGGCTCTGGTGGGGAGACAGGAATGATAAGGGAATTCTGGGAAAATGAGATACGTTCTAGTAGAAAACAAGGAATTGTTCATTGAATGAGCATGGGGCCTTGAGTCGGGAGCCTTGGGTCTAGTTCCGGAATTGCTGACTTCTAAGGTGGTGGCGGCAGTGGTCATGACGGTGGGGTATTTATCAGGTGTTTACAGCCAGGCTTTACTGCTTTAACTTAACCCTCACCCTAATCTCAGGATGCATTCTATTACGGACAATAGATTTAGCAAAGTACGGGCTCTCTGCCTCAGAGTCTCAAAGCTAGTTACTAGCCCCTGAGTTTGAACCCAGGCTTTCTGACTACACTATCCGTGAGCCACGGTTACACAGCCTTTCTCCATCGAATGGTTTCATCTGCCTGAAACCCAGTAGTTTCATCTGTAAAATGATCACTGAATTAGTGAAATTGGAGGCAAAGGAGCCATAAACTTGAAGGAGTCCATGTCAGATTTCCCATCCCAAGGAGATGAAGTTTGCCCCTTTTGGGGTGGAAAGAGCAGGTATCGAGAGAATGTTTTCCAAAGAAAGCAGTCTCTGGCTTGTAGTACCCCTTTGGAAAGAATGACTCACTGATAGTGTTTAGTATCAAATCTAGTTTTAATCTGTGTCAAGTCCTCCCCCCTCCCGCCCACACCCCACACCGTCCACAGGGTACTAGTGAGCGTCATGGCCTCCTCTCCCCTTGGAATCGAAGGTATTGGCAATAACCGTTTTCGGTGCTAAGAGGCCTTAGGGCAGCAATCATGGGTCACTGGTACCCTGCAGCTGCAGGAGGAGTCTCACCTCTACTGGGGATGGCGTGGGAGGGCCCAGGAGGGGAAGAATAGGGTTTAGGGGACTTCCTGACTGCAGGGGTTTCCTGTTTGAAGCCAGGAAATAGGAGCTAATGGAGTCCAGGAACAAAAGTTGCCTTTTAAATAGAACACAGGATGGGGAGCTGGGACCTCATTAGCCACTGGTAACTTCCAGCGCCACCTGGGCAAGGGGAAAGGCGCACAAGAGGAAATCAAAGGTTCGGTGCTAACCGGAGCAGCCCCCCTTTCTTTCTCTCTGCCCCGCTCTCCCCCCAGCCCCTTGCAGGGGAAGGCCACAGGTGGGAGAGGATGCACTGGAGCCTGTACTCTTCACTCAGCCTTCTTGGGCACTCGGCCCATCTTGGTGCGGATGTTTCGCAGGAGAAAGAAGGCAGCTGTGCTGAGTGCACAGATCACTTCAGCCACCCAGAAGGCTGTGCTCCAGCTATAGTGCTTGGCAATGGTGCTGAAGGGCAGCCCAGCCAGAAAGCCGCCCACTGCCAAGGAGAAGGGGAAGAGCCCCGGTCATTTGTGAGGCTAGAGTCAGTAGGCCTGGCCCCAGCCTCTAGCTAGCCTATGTGTAAGGCACAGTGGGGTGAGGTAGACACTCTAGAGGGCACCACTTACCATTGGCCATGAGTCCCACAATGGCGTGGGAGGTGCCGCACAAGTTGGGAGGGGCGCTCTCATTGGCTATAACTCCGAACAAGGCAATGGGACCGTAAGAAGAGAAACCAAACACAGCTCCCAACACCAGGATCCAGAGCTGCAAGGACAGGGCAGGGTGGCATTTAGAGTCTGAGAAAGTCTACCTACCTACCACTGCCAGAGGGGAGAAAAATGCTTGGCCCTAGGAACAGATGATTGTAGTAAGGAGATAGTAAGTGACCTCCCTCATCCCACTTCCTGATACAATTGACAAGGCCGAGCTAGAGGAGTGGGGCCACGCTGAGCCAACCTGAGGGCCTGGGTGGGTAGGTGAAGGAGAGACAGAAGAAGCCATCCCTCCCCATTAGATGCGCGCTCTCAGAATTGATGCTAGGGCAAGGCAGACAGGGTAGGACAAGGGGGAGACAAACCAGGAGGAAAACCACAGACAAGGCACCTCATGCTCCGTAAAGCCTGTGAGCTCAGCGAGTGGGTGAAGAGCTGGAGTCCAGAAAGCAACATCCTAGAGGAGCACAGGGAAGAGAAGAAAACCGGGCCCCAGGTCCAGGAGGAGCACCAAAGTACAGAGGACACGAGGTAAACCAGAACTAGAAAGGGAAATCTGAGAGGCAAAGAAAGGCCTGGGCCAGGGTGGAGCCAGGGACAGGAAGCCAGACAGCGGCCCTTGCTCTCTCATCCTTGTGCCGGTGGCGGGCCAGGCCCGCCTCATTTACCTTGGGGGAGTCACTGCTCACAGTTACCCGGAAGAGGTACATGGACACGGTCATGCCAGCCATCATGAACAGCAACAGGCCATGCCGAGGGTTCCCGTAGATGGACGGCCCTGCCTGTGGATACAGGCCCAGCAATGTCAGGCCCTAAAAGCAGCAGAGAACCTCCGCCTCTGGACCCTGACACAGCAGGGCTTCTGCTGACAGGTCTTTGGCAGTCCTACCACAGTTCTTGGCCCCGGGGCAGCTCTGGGAGGCCCTGGGACCTGCTCATTATATTCTGAGGCCAAACTCCACCACATCCCCTCCTCCACCACGGGGACATATGCTGGCAAGCTGCACCTAGTCTCTCCTCAAGCCCAGTTTCCCTGGGGTTGTAGAGAAGCCCACTGCTAGGCTGAGAGAAATGCTAGCTCTCCTTGACATCCGTTAAAACCCTTTCCCCAGGAACCCTACCTTGCCCCCACACCCTCAGCAAGTAAGAGTAGCCCGGAGGCATTCCAACCTCCCCCCACCCATATGCCAACCTGCCCATGCCCCGGGGCTCCTGCCTCTCTGGTGCCTGTCCCGGTCACGCTGGGGAGATTTAAAGGGACCCTCCTCCTTCCTGTCCCTTCTGCCCACTCACCTTTGCCATGGCCCGGTCTGACAGGTAGCCAGCTGCAATGCTGCCTACAAGGCCCCCAACCTCCAGCGCACTCATGTAGGAGCTACCTGGCGTAGGGAGTTGTGGTGGGAAGAGGGAAAGGAGGGGTGGAAGGGTGTTAAACACACTAGGGTTGTCCCAGATTGGCTGTAACCCAGAGAGGTACAGGGTCCCCAAGGGTGACCGGCCACAGCTGTCTGGGTGGTGCCTGGCCTCAGGGAAAGAAGAAAGGGATAAAGAGAAGCTGGGCCTGAATTTCCCATCCCTTTCATTGATTCCTGCTCCTAGGCCCACCCCTGCTCCAACACCCATCTTACCCACGAGGACTGAATGTCCTTTCTCCTGGATAAGGAAGAACTGGCCCCAGTCGGTACAGCAAGTCTTTACTCCAAATACCACAAGGTAGCCAGTGGAGAGCACCCACAGGTAGGGGGATAGCAGCAGCTCCTGCAAGGTACTCTCCTCCTTCAAGGAACCTGGGGGCAGGAGGAGGCCAAGCCTCAGGCTCTGCTCTTGCTGTTCTGCCCCGACTGAGCTCCCACCACTCATTAACCAGCCACAGGGCCAGAGTCCATCCACATAGCCAGGGACCAGCAGGAAGGTACCCCTTCACCCACTGCTCTGCCCTGTCTGCTCCACAGCAAGTCTCAGCAAATGAGAGAAAAACTGAGGATCAGGGTGCATGGCAGAAGGCACCCAAGCCACTTAAGCTGAGGATGCTGTCCAGGACCGGGAAGTCTGGCTCTGCTGTGAGGAAGGACCAGGATATAACGTGAGTCACAGCATTTGTTGGCTCTCCCACTTGTCCGGTACTTAAGTGTCTCTTGGAACGGAGTTTTATTTACTCCCCACCAACTCGCCATCACCACCCCTCCCCCTACAGCCATTGGCTAGCCCAGGGCCAGGCATCCAGCCAGTCCTCAAGTGAGTCTGCCAGATGAATGATGAATGAAGGGGGCCCCATGATGAGCTTGGGTGGGGGCTCACCCTTCTTGCCCTTGGCGGGAGTGGGGTCCAAGTTTCGGAGTCCAACATCGGCAGGCTCGTTGTGGATGAGCAGGAGGCAGAGGAAGGAGACAACCACACCCAGGGCCCCGGACAGGGCCAGCGTGCCGCGCCAGTGGTAGCTCTGGGCGAGGGTGGTCGCCAGGATGGGGCCCAGCGCTCCAGCCAGGTTCATGCTCGTGGACAGAATGGCCCACCAAGTGCCAAACTGAGATGGCTCGAACCACTGTGCGGCAGAGGGGGACAGAGTAGGTCCCCACGTTAAACACGCCGAAGGTGAGGGTCAGGTGGGGCAGACCTAGGAGCTCACGTTACAGGGGTGAGGAAGAGTGCGCTTCTACTTGGCAGGGCCTATGCCCTCATCTGCCACCTGATCCCACCATGTTTAGCTCCTAAAATATCTTGACAAGCAATAGGAGCTGGACTGGAACTCCCAAGGAGCCTGCTCTGGGATGGGGGTGCTGGTACTCCCACATGCTCTTTAGGCATCCTCTGTGCTAGTCTAAACCAGCTCCCTGGAAGCAGACACTCACCTTCCGCAGGATCTTCCCACATGGAGGCCAGCCCAGCCCCTGTGCCAGGCCATTGAGGAACCACAGAGCAGCAAAGACGGGTACCAGGGAGCTCCAGGAAAACGCTATATTGACCACGCCAACCAGAAGCAGCCCCAAAGAGAAGAGCCAGCGAGCACTCATCTGGTCAGACAGCACCCCGCTCACAAACTTGCTGATGGCATAGGCTGCCGACTGGCTGCTGGTGATGAGCCCTGCAGGGGCGGGGAGAGAGAGCAGGAAGCAGGACACCTGGGGAGTTAGGGGCCTGGGCAAAGGCCCAGGAGGCATGGAGGAAGGCATGGGGTCAGGTGTGTAGAAGTGCCCTGCAGGGTGAGAGACGTTCCCTCCCAGAGAGCTAGGAAGAGCCTGTGCTGGAATCGTGGGGCCCTGCTCCTCCTCACCACCAGCGCTAGCCCCAGGCTGACCCAAGACTTTTCAGCCTCCTGGAGAGGTCCAGCTGCAGCTGTCAGGAGGCAAGAAGGGAGGACAGGGCAGGCCCCGTCCCTGGGATTTACAAAGGCCTGATGACATTTCCCCCTCACACTGGATGCCAACCCAGGGCTTCTGGAAGTTCTGTTGCCCCACCTCTGAACATGGGGTGAAGAGCTTAGAAGTGGAGTCAAGGGCCTTCTCCCTCCTAAAATGTCATCTGGTGGGCCACATGAAGTTATTTTGCCAACTCCCCAGTTCCCGTGACTCACAACATCAGTGGCTGGCATGCACCCTGTGGTCTTAGCATGCCCCCACGCAGTGTGGAAACAGTGCTCAGAGCGCCCCTAAACACACTCAGAATAAGCCATGCCTCTGGGGGCACTCGTGGGTCACAGGCCCACAGAGACACATCAGATGAGCAGCGCCCCTCAGGCACACAGAGAGCACATGCCTAGTTCTTCGCCCGTCCACAGGTATATGGTCAGAGTCCCTCGGGCGGCATCTGCAGGCCGCTCCCTGTCCTCTGCTGTGCAAAGACCCTCCACACTGCCACAAACACCCAACTTGTCTACTAGTCCTGGGTCCCAGGGCCCACGCCCCTGCCTTCCAAGGCTCACCCAAGTCATCCTTGTCCAGAGGGATCTCCTCCACCAACGACGGCATGACGAAGGAGAAGGTCTTGCGGTTGAAGTAGTACAGGCTGTAGCCTCCAAACATGGCCGAGAAGATCACAGCGCGGTAAAAGCCGTAGCCTCGGGCCGCCATGGTGGAAGGGAGCAGGCCCCACTGGTGGGGACACGGAGCCTCTGACCACAGCTCCTGCCGGTGGCTCTCTCGGTGCCCAGATCTGCTGAGTTAGGCTTTTTCTGGCTCCCTCCTCCACCCAGCCTCCCAGGCTCCCTTTATAGCCACCTTCTGGACAATCATTAAGCCTGGGGCAGCTTGTAGGGAACCCAGTGTCCTGAGGGAGACAAGAAAACATCAGATTACTGAGGGGGAAGTGGTAGGGGCTGGAGGGGGTCCCGGAGGGAGGCACTGCCTGTGAACCAGCACCAGCCAGCATGCTGTCCCCCCAGAACTTCTGCTTTTCTTCGCTTTTCCTTGTCTGCCCGCCTGTGAAACCAGCTGTGATTAAAGGCTCAACCTAATTACTTTTGTCTGCAGGAGCCCAGGGGAGGCAGGGGTGGGATAAGCAGAGATGCCCTCTCTAGCCCTGCTCCCTCAGTCACCTGCCTTCTCATTCATTCAACCACGAAGTTTAGGGAGAGCTTACTGGTTGCCAAGCATGGCACTAGGTGCTGGGTTAGTTTCTACACACACACTCAATTAGACACATATCCCCAACAACCCGACTCACAAGTCTTAGGACTGACTCAAGTAACTCCCAATGCTCAGCGCACACTGGGGTGTAACTGTTTATGGATAGTTGCAGACCCGTAAGCAGGAGAAACTTCCCCTTTGCAGGCCCTGGGTTGCGCTAAAAGCCCCCCTAAAGGCTGGGGTCGTGGTGGGGCCACTCAGCGGTCTCTGGTCCCTTTACCCTGTAACGACAGGATGGGGTGCCCTCTGGCCGGCTGGGGCCTGCAGGGTCGGTGACAGCACGGCCCATGGGCGGGAAGGTGCACCCCGCGGACTTCAGGCGGCAGTGCCGAGCCAGCCCGCTTCCCAGCGCCCCGGCAACACGCCCCCGGCTTTTCAGCTCAGTTGGGAAAGCAATTGGAGCAGAAGGCGTACGCGCGAGCGGAGCAGGCGACCGCACGGAGTCTCCCGGAGGCTCCTGGCTTCGGGCTCCGAGTGGCTCAGCCCGGCAGGATGGGGCCAGGCGAAGGCTCTCGGCACCTGCCCAGCCGCGTGTCCTCAAGCTACCCGGGACACCCGACTCGGGCTGGAAGCCCACGCGCCCGGGTGCGGGAGCTGGAGAGGTGCGGAGACACCGAACCGGCGCGACAAAAAGAAGAAGGTGCGTCCTGGTCACGGGCAGCACCTCGGAGGCCCCCAGACCCAGGAAATGCCCCCCACCCGGGAAGGGGCAGCTGCAGGAACAGCTCCGGTTTGTATCGGAAGTTAGGGCAACCTTTGTTGGGGCTCTAACAAAGGAGCCCAGACACCCGAGACTCCCCCTCCAGCCTCGCCTTCAGGCAGCGCCCCTCCCCCGCATCCAGCCTGCTACCTGAACGCCGGCGGGAGCCGGAGTAGGATAGAGCGGGGCGGCGGGGCCCCCGGGCGCATGCGCGTGCGCTGGGGGCGGGGCCTCCGTCTGCGCATTGCTGGCTGAGAGCCAAGTCCACCCCTCAGCGCTTAGTCCTAGTCCTGCGGGTTGTTAGAGGTTCTTGGGCGAGGACAGCGCCCCTTAGAGGCTGCATTCGTATGTTCCCTTCTTAACTGGTGGGGTTCAACAAATCCGTTTTTAGTGAGTGCCTCCCACTACCAATCACTCTTCCCGCGTTATTCACAGTCTAGGAAAGCTCTTGTAGAGAGCACGGTCTTTTCTGTAAGAAATTAAGGCAGTCCCGGAGCGCCTGGGTGGCTCAGTCGTTAAGCGGCTGCGTTCGGCTCAGGTGATGATCCCGGGGTCTTGGAATCGAGCCCCGCGTCGGGCTCCCTGCTTGGCGGGAGGCCTGCTGCTTCTCCCACAACCTCCTGCTTGTGTTCCCTCTCTCGCTGCGTCTCTCTGTCAAATAAATAAATAAATCTTAAAAAAGAAAAATTAAGGCAGTCCCCATAAGCACAATATGAACATTTAACTTGTAATCAAACTGGTGTGAACAGGGTTAAGATAAAACAAACAGGGTTCTAGAGGGGAGGCGGTGGGGGGATGGGTTAGCCTGGTGATGGGTATTAAGGAGGGCACGTTCTGCATGGAGCACTGGGTGTTATAGCAAACAATGAATCATGGAACACTACATCAAAAACTAATGATGTGGGGCGCCTGGGTGGCTCAGTCGGTTAAGCCTCTGCCTTCGCCTCAGGTCATGATCCCAGCGTCCTGGAATCGAGCCCCCCCCCCCCCCCCCCGCCCCGCATGTGCTCCCTGCTCCGCGGGAAGCCCGTTTCTCCCTCTCCCTCTCCCTCTGCCTGCAGCTCTGCCTGCTTGTGCTCTCTCTCTCTGTCAAATAAAAAAAAAAAACTAATGATGTAATGTATGGTGATTAATATAACATAATAATAATAAGAAAAGATAAAATAGAGTGTTTAAAGTACCTGGCCAGAAATAAACCTTAAATTCTAATCCCAGACCCACTACATTTTTAACAATGTTACCTTGGGTAATAATTTCTATGAGCCCCAGTTTCTTATAAATCTCATAGGTTTGTTGTGAGGACTCAGTAGATTTTTTGTTAATATTGTAATTTTTATTTTTTAATTTTTTTTAAAGATTTTATTTATTTATTTGACAGAGACAGTGAGAGCAGGAACACAAGCAGGGGGAATGGGAGAGGGAGAAGTAGGCTTCCTGCTGAGCAGGGAGCCCGATGTGGGACTCGATCCCAGGACCCTAGGATCACGACCTGAGCCGAAGGCAGACGCTTAACGACTGAGCCACCCAGGCGCCCTAATATTGTAATTTTTAAAATAATGTCTACACCCAACATGGGGCTTGAACTCACAACCCAGAGACCAAGAGTCGCATGCTGCACTGACTGAATCGGCCAGGCACGCCTCAATAGAAGATTTAGATAAGAATTAAGAAAATTTAGATAATTGCTTTCATAGAAACCGCGGGAGAATTGCTAAAAGAATTTTAAGTGTTCCAAAGTTGACAGTAAAGATGTTTTAAATTGGGAAGGTGGTCAGGGAAGGGAGGAGAAGCCTGCAATCTGCAAGAGCCCAAGCAATGTCACTCCAGGAGGCCTCATGAAAGATTTTAAAACAGGATTATGAAACACTAAAGTATTACGATAACCACTCTCAACCTACAATCCTTGATTGGATTCTGATGAGAACCGTGAGTGTGATCAGCGTTTTCCCTCATTTCTGTCTGGGTACCTGAAATGATGAATGATGTCAGGGATTCCCATCTGCACAGGAGTAAAGCATTCAACCTCCCAAATGAGGATCTTGGGTCTAGCCAATTGGGAGGAGCCGATTCAGGAGAAGAAAAGAAATTAATGAAGGGGAGCCTGGGTGGCTCAGTTGGTTAAGCGACTGCCTTCGGCTCAGGTCATGATCCTGGAGTCCCAGGATCGAGTCCCACATCGGGCTCCCTCCTCGGCAGGGAGTCTGCTTCTCCCTCTGACCCTCCCCCCTCTCATGTGCTCTCTCTCTCTCAAATAAATAAATAAATAAATAAATAAATAAATAAAATTAATGAAGAACTGGAGTCTCGATATCAGCAAAGTATGGATAGTAAATTATCAGGAAGCTATTGAGGACATTGTAGACTTGGTTTCAGTGAGGTAGGAGATCATGATGGAGAAGGTGATGTGGCTGGAGATGATGATGATGATGATGATTCACCTGATCCTGAAAGTCCAGATGACTCAGAAAGTGATTCACACAGAAAGAATCTGCTAAAGAACTCCAAGCTACTGAGCACCCTGATGAAGTGAAGGACCCTCAACAAAACTAAGACAACCTACTGAATGGGACTAGATATTTGCAAATGACATTTCCAATATAGCATTAGCATCCAAAATATATAAAGAACTTATACAGCTCAACACCAAAAAACAAATAACCAAATTTGAAAATGGGCAGAAGAGGGGCACCTGGCTGGCTCAGTTGGTGGAGCGTGCGACTCTTCATCTCGGGGTTGTGAGTTCCAGCCCTATGTTGGGTATAGAGATTACTCAAAAATAAATAAAGAGGATAAATAAAGAGAGGCGCCTGAGTGGCTCAGTCGGTCAAATGTCTGCCTTTGGCTTAGGTCATGATCCCAAGGTCCTGGGATCAAGCCCTGGGTCAGGCTCCCTGCTCATCGGGGAGTCTGCTTCTCCCTCTGCCTCTCTCCCCCGCTTGTGCTCTCTCTCTCTCTCAAAAATAAATAAATAAAATCTTAAAAATAAATAAATAAACTTTAAAAATTTTAATTTAAAAAATGGGTGGAAGACATGAACAGACATTTCTCCAAAGAAGACATCCAGATGACCAACAGACACATGAAGAGATGCTCAACCGCACTCATCATCAAGGAAATGCAAATCAAAACCACAATGAGTTATCACTTCACACCTGTCAGAATGGCTAACATCAAAAACATAAGAAACAAGTGTTGGCAAGGATGTGGAGAAAAAGGAACTCTTGTGCACTGTTGGTGGGAATGCAAACTGGTACAGCCACTGTGGAACACAGTATGGAGGTTCCTCAAAAAATTAAAAATAGAATTACTGGGGCGACTGGGTGGCTCAGTCGTTAAGCGTCTGTCTTTGGCTCAGGTCATGATCCCAGGGTCCTGGGATCGAGCCCCGCATAGGGCTCCCTGCTCAGCAGGAAGCCTGCTTCTCCCTCTCCCACTCCCCCTGCTTGTGTTCCCTCTCTCGCTGTGTCTCTCTCTGTCAAATAAATAAGATCTTTAGAAAAATTTTTTTAAATAAAAAAAATAAAAATAGAATTACCATATGATCCAGTAATTCCACTATTGGGTACTTACCCAAAGAATGTGAAAACACTAATTCAAAAAGATATGTGCACCTCTATGGTTATGCATTACTTACAATAAGCAAATTATGGAAACAGCCCAAGTGTCCATCAATGGTTGAATGGATAAAGAAGATGTGGTATATATGCAATGGAATGTTGCTCAGCCATAAAAAAGAATGAAATCTTGCCATTTGCAACAACATGGATGGATCTAGAGAGTATAATGCTAAGTGATATAAGTCAGAAAAAGACAAATACCTTGTGATTCCACTCATGTGTGAAATTTAAGAAACAAAATGAATTAAAAAGAGACAAATCGAAAAACAGACTGTTAACTATAGTGATCAAACTGATGGCTGCCAGAGAAGAGGCAGGTGGGGGGACAGGGAACTTGGTGAAGTGGATCAAGAGTGCAATTACCGTGATGAGCCCTGAGTAACGTATGGACTTGTTGAACCACTCTATTGTACACCTGAAACTAATATAACACCATGTTAAGGATACTGGAATAAAAATAAAAATAAAAATAAATAAAAGTAAGCTTTATTGTTATGACACACAATGGAGGACTGCTCATAGAGCATAGACCTTTACACTATAATTACTTATCTTTTAAATAGGGTTTTTAAAATAATTACAAAAAGTGTTTGCATTCAGATGCCATGGGTTACACTTTTATGGGCATGACTGTAACCATTTTTGCAAAGAGTTGTATAAAATAATAAATACAATACTCAATTTCTTTTCATGTTAACACCATCAAACTTCTTTTTTTAAAGATTTTATTTATTTGAGAGAGAGTGAGTGCAAGAGCACAAGCAGGGGTGGGGGGCGGGGGCAGAGGAAGAAGCGGACTCCCCACTGAGCAGGGAGCATGTCCAGAGCTAAAGGCAGAGGCTTAACCCGCTGAGCTACCCAGGCACCCCAGCCCCATCAGACTTCTAATCCCATCTTTTTACCCTTTCAAACACAGTTATGGGGGAGACATGTTTTTGTTTGTGGTAGCTGTTTCATCTTTTTTTATTCCTTTATGTTTTTCTCTTATAAAAAGTTTATCTGATACTGTGATATGTTCATGATATTAACATGTTCATGTCATTATGCTTTGTAGTAGTATTATTCATCATGGGTATT